ATTATTTCGACTTTTAAGTCAACATTTTATAACTTTATTCTCAGTCTGGCAAAAGAAGAAAAAAGGGTGACTCTTTTGCTCCGTGTAACTCTTTGCTTTAGGCCTGTTGCCGTTTCCTCTGGCGTCTGCACACGGCCCTACAGTCCCTTTTATGGGCATTAATGGGCGGTTACCAATGCTAAGTACCTATGCTAATGAAGCACCTGGCACGCGCGCTCTACTTACGAGGAAATGGCATTCATCAATCTGAGAGAACATTGATGATAATACATGTTTGTGCATGTTTTGTGTGAAGCACTTTACAAATAAAAAGCTTCTATTTTGATCTACACTGTCTCTATTAGATTCCCTGGCAAGCAAAAGATTGAAGATAATTTTGTGTAAAAATGATTGATTTTAAAGATATCGTGACAATATCATTATCGGGAGTTGGGGGGAAAAAAATCATTTTTGCCCATATCGCCCACCCCTAGTTTTAAGTAATAAAGTTAGACTACGCTTTATACAAGATATAAACAGCATTTTGTGCGGTTGTCGCTGCCTAGCTTACCAAGACGATTGCCATTCATTTTCATGACACCAAAGATCTATTTTCCTTCTATGGCCATTATTCCTTACCCTCGGGCATTTACGTTCTCTGTCATTTACCACAACAGGCTTAAATTAGAATGGAATAGGTCCATCATACAATAGATGTGATGCATCGCGCTTAATTGTTATACTATATATTATGTTCAGCAATGTGTTGTGTACCTTACGTGACATAAGCTCAGAACCGGGTTCGAATGCGGAAGTAAATATTCATATTTTATACCTTCAGACTTCACTGGAGTCTGTAGCAGTCAGGGTGTGGGGCAAGCAGGAATGTATTTATATAGTAAATGTGTATAATCCGTGTATTCAGATTCAGCTGTCTGAGCTTGAGGGTGTGAAAGTGCAGATTAAGCGTCACATAGTTTGGGTAGGGGATTTTAATGGGCATAACCCTCTTTGGGGGAGTGGTAGTAGGGATGCCAAAGAAGGTGTTATTGAAGATTTTATGGATTCTAGTGGGTTAGTTTGTATGAATGATGGGAGGCCTACACGTTTTAACATTCAGTCAGGAACAGTCTCAAGTATTGATTTAGCTCATGTGTCTAGTAGTTTGGCCAGAGTGGGAGAGTATTGTAAGTGACCATTGGCTCTTGAGGTTTGGGAAACCTCTATTGAAAAGGAAGCGTAATCTTGACTATTTTAATTATGGGCGAGCAGATTGGGATACATTTAGTAAGTCAAGTGATGAAGGAATAGATGGAATAAATGAGGAAGGTACAGTGAATGGAATGATAGTTTGTGTAAGATAATTAAGGATAGTGCGTATGCATGTATTGAAAGAAATGTCAAAAAGAGAGTGCCAAAGTACCATGGCGGAATAAGGACTGTGAGGTGCTGTGAGGGAGAGGGAAAGGGGCTTAGAGTGCTTAAAAAATACCCAACACTATACTGTAATAGTGTATAAACGGTTAAGGGCTTCAGCCAGGAGAATATTCAAGACGGCTAAAAAAGAGCTGGAGAAAGTATTGTGGTACACTGGGAACAGAGACCTCTCTAAAAGATATTTGGAGGGCTGTGAAACGTATGACAGGAGTTAATCGGAAATTTGACATCTCAGGGTGCTCCAAGATAAGTTCAGAGCAGTTCATAGTGATGAAAATGTACAATTAGAGGATAGGAGGAAGAAAGATGACCCTTTGGATGCAAGCTCGAAGTTAGTGATGACAATTCTGATGTGTGTATTCTGTATACCTCGTTGGAGGAGCTGGAAAGCGCTATTGTCGAGAGGAAAAGGTCTGTCCCTGGGAAAGATGGGATTAGTTATGAGTTACTTGAATGTGTTTTATGAATTGTTGGCTCTTATTAATAATGTTTGGGAGCAGAGGAATCTTCCGTCAGCGTGGAAGCAGGCAGTTGTTGTGCCTATCTGAGGCAGACTCATATCGACCAATTGCTCTAACCTCCGTTTTGTGTAAGGTTATGGAAATAATGGTTACTAACAGGCTTGTCTATAGGATTGAAAGGGAGGGCAAACTATCGCCAGTGCAAAGGTCGAGGCACGATGGATTCAGTCCTCCGTCTTGATTGTGACCTATGATATGTTACGGCGTTATGGCCTGGTGATTAACTCTGACAGTGGGAGTCGTGGATGTATGCTCAACTGGATTCAAAACTTCCTCTGCAACAGTGATTCAAGTCAGGGTGGGAAAGGACATTTCAGAGAGGACAGAGAATGATAATGGTACGCCACAAGGAAATGTGATCAGTCCAATTTTATTCATGTTATGGTCAATGATATTTTTAACTCTCTAGGCCCTTTTGGCACATCTCTTTGCAGATGATGGAGCCATTTGGAAAAGAGGAAGAGGGGGTTTAGAGTTTCTGTTGAAAAAAGTATATTTGTGATTTTTGGAAATAAAAAAGTTGGCAGTCAGGAGTTGAGGTTGTATGGGCTGCAAATTGAAAGGGTGAGGGACTTCTCTGAGTAATCCTTAATGAAAAGTGCTTTTTTAATCCTTGATGAAAATTAGAAAAAGCAATTAAATGTTATAATTAAATGTGAAAAGGTAATAAATGTGATGCAGGCTCTGGCTGGGAGTTGTTGGGGGGCTCAAATGCTGATTCATCAGGCAATGGAAAGATCAAGACTAGACTATGGATGTTTAACATATGATAGTGCGGCGATGTTGCATTCAAACAGACTTGATGTTGTTCAAGCAAAAGCACTAAGGCTTTGCTGCGGAGCCCGCAGGTCTTCTCTGATTCCTTTAAGCATTAGATAAGTCAAGCTAGCTATGCAGTACCTGGTTAAAATAAGAGCTTTTATTGGGAAATTCCCAGCGAAATAGTTGCTAGATCCATCAAAAAAGTTAGGAGCGAGAAGGAACCATGAACCTTTTGTTGTTACTGTAAAGAAATTGAGAAGTTGAGATTTAGCGAGGTGGGGGCTGCCCCTCAGCTGTTATGGTCAGTCATTCCTTCGTTGAACTTGACCATCCCCTGACATTGACATGTCAGCGTTAGAAAAGGTGTATTTTAACCTTATAGAATAGGCGTTGGGAAGAAGATGGGTAGGCCATTTGCAGATATATATATAGATGGCTCAACAGAAAATCAATCTTGTAGGATGGGGTGTGCCTTTTTTGTACCTCAATTAGAAGTGATTGTTAATAAGAGATGTCTGTGAACACTACAGAAATCACAGCTATAACATGTGCTCTTCAAACAAGGTCAAATTGTTATATGTTCTGATTCAGAGGCTGTGTTAAACTCAATAGGTTTCGACAAAGGCAATGCCAGGCCAGATCTAGAGATTGAGTTACTAACTGAAATTATACAAGATAATATAAGATGGACTTTATTGATATCACACAAGAAAAATGCACATGCCACTTTTGGCATAGATAAAATCACTCAAGATTTGTGTAAAGACAGAAGTGTGCAAACACGTTAAATGCAAAAAATATAGTCTGCGCAGAATATATTATGTATAATAAAATTGGCAATTAAAGAAACAGTGGCAATAGTAGTGCAGGTTCTAGTGCTAGTGACTTAAAGTCACCTATTATACTTATTGCACAGTCTGACAGCGGTGGGGATAAAGGCCCTGCGGTAGCGTTCCTTATTGCACTGAGGGTGTCTCAGTCATCCACTGAGAGAGCTCCTCAGCTTCTGTGCAGTGGGAGGTGTTGTTCATGATGGAGGTGACTCCCGTCCCTCACCTCCTCCACAGAGTCCAGGGAGCAGCCCAGAGTGGAGCTGGCCCTCCTGACCAGCTTGTTCAGTCTACTCGTGTCCCGCTCTGTGCTGCCCGGGGCTCAGCACACGGCAGCGTAGTGTATGGTAGAGGCTACCACAGAGTCATAAAAGGTCCTGGGCAGAGGCCTGCTCACTCCAAAGGACCACAGCCTCCTCAGAAGGAAGAGGCGACTTTGGCCCTGAAGGGCCCCAGTGCTGCAGACTACCACCTCAGACTCAGCTGTCCGAGAGATAGTCGATGGTCCATGCAGCGAGGTTACCGTCCGCTCCCGCATCCTCCATCTTCCCCCGCAGCAGTGCCGGCCTGATGGTGCACTGGAGAAGTCAAAAAACATGACCCTCGCAGAACCGGGAGGACCCGACGATGCCCAAATACAGGCGAGTTCCCATGGATCTTTGCGAGTTCCAGGCAAGTTCCGCTAATCTTTCGGCGCCCATGCCGGCACAATGCGCCACTGAGCACAAACCATTCATTTGAATACGGCGCCATCTTGGATCGTCGGGCTTGGTTTACAGTCACTGGAGAAAAAGAACTCAGACTGGAAGCATATGTTCACAAGCACTGTGTCTCCTTTTGTCAATCCTGGTTTAGTCCTGGTTTAGGCTGTTTATGAGTATCTTCAGTCTGCTCGTTCATACTGCGAGTGTCTCCGTGACCACTTTGCGGCTCTCTCATTCAGAGAGCCGCATGCATCGAGTTGCCGCTCCTGCGCCTCTGCCGTGTTGCCCGTGTGCCGCAACGCACATGCAATTCCACGCTCCAACGGACTTCACCATTGAAATTTTTGTTGTTGCCTTTAGCATGTTTGCACACTTCTGTCTTTTGCACGAATCTGAGTGATTCAATCCATGTCAAATGTGACATGTACATTTCTCCTGTGTGAGATCAATAAAGTCTTATCTTATCTTTGCATTGAAAGTCGCCGCAACTCATGGTGTGGTCTGAATGCCCAATTAGACTATTTTATTCTTAAAATACTTATTTATACTTTATTCCTAAGACTCGAAAGGACTTGAAAGTCAAACCATAGGACTTTGGACTTTACTTAAGACTTGTTGGCCTTTGACTTGGGACTTGCCTGTTTTGACCTAGGACTTGACTTGTAACTTGAGGGCAATGAATTGAGACTAACTTGTGTGATTTCACATGAACACAGATTTTTCTCATTATTTAATCTTGTGGTATATGCTGTCTGTGGTGTTTTCAGGATCTGTTGCAGCGTGTGGTGAAAAAGACAGAGGGCGCTGAAGTGGAGGCTCTGGAGAAACTCTACACCACACTGTCCCAATGTATTTACCGTCACCGCGACAATCATATGAAGTCTGAGTTGATCCGAGAGATGGAGACTGAGGTCGAGCTATTCTCCTGAGATTATAACCAATAAACCCTACCGTATCAAAAAGTCCAAGTCTGTCACTTTACAACAATACCTCAGCAATCTTTGAAATACTACTCATCATGTTCCATATTAGCCACATTCACACAGAGGGCACATCCCAGAATGTTCTGAAATTTCCATGTGAATGTTACAAATCTATTTATTTACTATTGTGCAATACATCATTATGTGTTTGTTGTTGAGTTGAATAAATAAAGTTTTAAATGAAACTAGTTTATGATTTTCTTATTTGTAAAAACAACCTTTCTGTTAGGTTGGTGGCGTTGAAATAAAATCTTCAGAGCTCTTATTATGGAGGACCGTGGCTGCCAAAACAATAAATATATACAGAAATAAATAAATAAATACATTTAAAAAAGATAAAATTTTCAAAGAAATTCATGCAATTATGAGAATAAGTGCATTTATTTCTGTATTTATATATTTATTTATACATTTATTTATCTATTTCTGTATTTATTTTTGTATTTATTTATCTATTTCTCTATTTATTTCTTTTTGCATTTATTTTATTTTTTCTCTATTTAATTATTTATTTCTGTATTTATTTCCGTATTTCTCTTAAAGGAATAGTTCACCAGAGCGCTACGTCCGCGCACTAACTTCTCTCCGGAGACTTCTCTCTTGCTCACTTCCGTCAATAGAAGCAGCGTGACTCGTAGTACGGAGAGAAGTTAGTGCGCGGACGTAGCGCTCCTCAGATTACTACGCCTCACAATATAGTACCCGTTTTATCCGCTGAGAAAATCGACAGTTACATTTCTGTGTTACTATACTTTGCAGTGTAACACGTCACGTAACTATATACATTTAATAGGGAACACTTGGAAGAGTTTGGTAGCTTCTAGCGGGAGCTACCTTTTGGGTCCTATACTGTATACAGAGGAGGCTGCGTTTGTGCTCCCGTTTTTGCTCCGTTTGCATGACAGAGCGCACGGACTAAGACCAGACAGGTACATATTAACTAGTCTAAGGTAAGGTAAGAACATATGTCAGTATGTAAAAACGGTAAACTATTCCTTTAATGATATGAAATTCATGGGGTGGGCCGGGATGCCTCTACTGTGAGCTCATTGGTTAATCTTTTTCCTTGCTCCATAGCTTGTCCAGCATAGGCGGTCATGTTGAGATCACTGTGTTCTCGCTATAGCCATGTCAGAACGAAAAAATAAAAATAAAAATCTCAAGCATTCTTCCAATAAATAAATAAATACAAAAATAAATACAGAAATAAATAAATATATAAATAAATACTGAAAGATCAAGGCTATGCTCACACTCAGAGAGCAGCCGTCCTCCTGTGGACTCACCACCTGCAGAGGGTCAGTGAGGGGCTGGTGCTATGAGACTTGGGTGGCATCTCTGACTGCCACCCCCCTGACCCAGAAATGGATTAAAGGGTCGAAAATGGATGGATGGATGGATGGATGGATATAAATACAAAAATAAATGCACTTATTCTCATAATTGCAGGCATGTCTTTGCAAATTTTTTCTTTTTTAAATTGATTTATTTATTTCTGTATATATTTATTGTTTTGGCATCCACGGTCCTCCATATTTATGGCAGAGCGTGCATACCATGGTGCATACTCATGGCATGGTTCTCTCTTCACTACTCCCCTAACCTGTTGTTATCCACCCATCTATGTGCAAATGGTGCCCTCTGTCGGTGAGGCGACAACCCTGCAGTAAACACATATCATGCATACATAAACACAACATCTCCCCCATTGCTCATAAACGGTACTACTACATCTCCTATTTTAGAACAAGATGCGAGTATGAAAAAATAACTTCTACTTTTAACCAGCTGAAATACTTCACTAACATTACTCACAGATAGCTTCGATTAACTGTTGTACTCTTGTGTATTAAATTGCTTAACTGAAATTTAGCAGCAGGTATCACATAACTCAGATCATTTAAAATGAACATTAATGCTACTTCAAAACATAGTCTTTGGTCCATGCAGGAGGTATGTGCTCTCTTCGTGGAGCAGTGCGATTTCGTACAGACTGTGAGGCTGATATTAGATCCTGCAGTTCCAGCTCGAGCAGGGTCTTCTGCTCCTCCTGCGCAGAGAGAAAGGTGGGTTGCATTCCACCGTTTCCCATCACTCAAGATGAAAGTGCTGTATCCGGTTTGTTGTTGGACGGACACTGAGTCAGTGTACTGTGTCTCTCCTTTCCCAACGTTAAAAAGCTTGTGGATACGGACCTTGTCTCCTACTGAAATGTTTCACAAAATCAGAGAAATGCGCTTGAATTAATCTTACTTTTGAGCAAGTATGACGCTGTCCTCCAACAACATGTAAAGACATGTTTGGAAAATAGCAAGGGGCAACATGAAAGTGGAGCTAAGGTCGAGATTCTCTCATCACCCTTCTGTCATAAGACATATTTAATAAAGTCTTGGATGCCATTAGCCAATTTATCAAGAGTGCTATTGCTGAAGAGGTGACACAGTCGGGCATGTATTCTATACAGAAAGAAACCACGGAAGATGTTAGCTCTAAAGATCAGTGCTCCATCATCAATAGGTATGTCACTAATGTGATACTGAAACATCAAACTTTTTGTTTGCTAAACCTCAATATTGACATTAGTTATTGTGTTGGTAATTCTACTGATGGTGCTGCAAATATGCAGGGGCAATGCTGTGGCTTTTCAGCCTTTCTCAGTGAGCATGTTCCAAACCAGGTACATGTGTGGTGTTATGGGCATTTGTTAAATCTTGTTCTAGCAGATGCTACTGGCAGTGTTGTAGACAGTGCTTCCCTTTTCTCCCTCTTAAATGATAAAGCTGTGTTTATTAAAGACTCACACAAGCAAATGCGAGCATGGGAAGAAAAGAGACAAAGTTTAAGGCACTATAGGCCAAACACGATGTTGGGCCAAGGATCAGGCTGTGCGGAAAGTATTTGTGGGTATGGAGATCCAAAAGAGTCTTTATTTGTTCAGATTTGCCTCACACTGGACTCAATTCTAGAAGACAACACACAGACGCAAGGCAAGAGGGTTTATTGAAAACCTTTTGAAGTATAAAACTGTCCTCACTGCCCATATCTTCCTTCGGATTTTTGAGCAAACAACACCTCTTTCCAAGTATTTACAGACAAAGTGAATGGAGCTCATCACTGCACAGAGGCTGGTTGAGGGCACAGAGGAGGAGCTAAGAACGTGTTCAAGGGACTTTGATGGCCTTAAAAGTGCAGCAGACAGGTTTATGGTATGGGCCAATGAGAAGCTTGGGGAGAAGGAATCTGAGCTTTCTGTGCAACCTACCCTTTCCCAAAAAAGGATGAGGAAAAAGAAAATGATGCCAGGGGAAAGTGTAGAAGATGAGTGCCTCTCAGCATATGATGATTACAAAGTGAAGGTTCACAATGTCATTTTAGACACAGTGACTGACTGCATTCATAGGAGGTTCTCTTCTAATACAAAACTCTGTGCTGATTTTGCTTACTTAGATCCAAGACACTTTCCTAGTATCAAAGAAAACGGGCTCCCTGACTCGGCACTGCAAGAGGTAAGCAAATGCCTGCTTAAATTTGATAGCAGAACCTCTGGAACATCTTTGTGCACAAAACTTTACAATTTTGCAACACAGTGGGACAGGCTTAAAATGTCCCCTATAGAAGCATTCACTGTAAGGGAAGCCTGTGAGGACCAAGAAAATGAACAAGGACCAGACGCTCAAGTACAATTAAAAAACAAAACATGTTGTTCTTACAAAAAAATGCATCATCTGTGTCCATCTCATTCTATCACAATACACCCTTTTCACTGATGTGTATCATGTCATAGGCTTTGCCTACAAATACTTGCTTACTTCATGAGCGAAGTTTCTCCACTTTGAAATGTATCAAAAGTCGACTCAGGAGCACAATGAGCCAGAAGAGACCAGATGCTTTCATGCTCATGTTTACAGAAAAAGACAACCTTTTGCCATTGGATAATGACATTATCATCAACAAAGTCGACGAAACAAGTGCACTTCTTAGAGGTTACTCATGTTTTAATGTGCTTCATTTTGCTATTGTTAATTTGAGTTTGTTTGATTTAAACAGTGTGGACTTTGGTTTCTTGTCTTGTTACAGGTTAACATATTGTTTGCTTGTAGTTCTCCCCTGGGACAAAATTAAAGATACATGGTTTTTTATCAAGTTGTAGCAAGTACTGTTTATCCTCTTTACATCCACCCGCCCGCCGGCGGGCGATTTTTATTTTTAAAATGTTCTGCTGGCAATAACAGATGCATTTTGAACACCAAACCCCAAAAGCTCTATCATTTTAAAGCTTATTTTCTTATCTACATTTATATACAAGTGTAAACTACATCAGACTTTGCATTCAAAAGATATAACACATAATATGGGCACAAAATAAGTCACTAAGGAAAAAGTGTTTTACCTTTGGGCTTGTGCTGCATAAATAAATCAGCTCTCCTCCCGGTGAGCGAGTTCTACTTACTCATAGATCAAAATGCTTGAAAGTGGGCGCGGCTCAGATATTTTTCACAATAAAAGTCCTCTGCCTCTGCGGGATGTCCAAAGTTCGAAATACAGACACATTTCCCGTAGTGTTTCTGAGGAAGGATTGCTATTAGATATAATCAACGTAAAGTCAGACGTGTTGTTACTGTTCCAAATACTGTCTGTGCCTCGCGAACTGTTTCCCACTACACTGATCTGAACAGCTGCAAGGTGCGCAGTTTAACCTGGAGCTGGGTTGGGACTGTGGTGTTTTCATTCACTAAACATGCTCACAACAGCGATGTACAAACACATGCTCATCGCCTGCTCTCACACACTGTTCTCATAGACTACAGTGTTGTATTAAATATAGGCTAAAAGGCGATGTGAATTAGATTGACCTGAAATTGAACTCTGTCTGTCTCCAAGCAAAAAGAAAGACCTTGTATTGCCCAACTCCCCTTGTCCCATTTTGTCCAAAGTGCATGGGTGAG